GAACATTCTCATACCTTTTTAAAGGTGTTTAAAATAAATAGTTACTATAATATTTACATTTTCCAAGGGCTAAAATGTCCCTCACTTTACACTGCGCATGCCTGTTATAGATTAGAACACCAACAATAGTATTTTTTTAAAAGCTATTACTAAACAAGAGTTATCTAAAAAAGCTTGCTATGATGACACATTGTAAATTTAATGTATTTCATTTAGTAAAAAAATAGATTGCAATGCAATTAAATCCTGTTTTTAAGTGATTTAAAAACTATTATATATAATATATAATAATCATTAACAGGGTAGAGAGAGGAGTACCAGAGTTAACATTACAATAGGAACTATATAGGCAACTTGTTTGCTCTCACACTCTCATTCGATTACCAATAACAAAATGATGGTTACTGAATTATCCAAAGAAAACACAGCAACATTTTTCAATGTCACATCTAAGACATCACATCAATTGTCCAAAAAGCCAAATTAAATATAAAGAGCATTTTCATACAGATATTAGAGTACAAATAGTGAAATACTGAAAATGGCAAATAAAACTATTATTTTAAAATCAATATTTTATTCTGGTTTGCACCATGACGTGCCCTGTATCATTTCCGCTTTTCTGTAGCCGACAAGCGTGCCGTTCCCTGAAAAAATCATGCACATGGTTTAAACTGATCTATAAACCATGTTTAAGCCATGAGCAAAACAGTAACAGTGTGGACAGTAACAGGAGTGGCATTTTTTGCAAAACTCAGGCATTACTACCATTATGGTGAACAACGAGCTAGCACATGATGATCTGAAGAAGATTTGAAACATGTTTATTAACAGTTTTTCTCAAAATTACAAAAAAGAAAAGAAAATGTTTCCCTTATATCACAGGTGTCAAACTCAGTTCCAACAGGGCCGCAGCTCTGCACAGTTTAGTTCCAACCCCAATTAAACACACCTGATCAAACTAATTGAGTCCTTCAGGCTTGTTTGAAACCTACAGGTAAGTGTGTTGGAGCAGGGTTGGAACTAAACTGTGCAGGGCTTCGGCCCTCCAGGAATTGAGTTTGACACCCCTGCCTTATATGAAAATGGGTAACAGGGTGGACATGTTATGTTTTATCACAACAGAAAACTACTCTGAAATGCTTAAAATAAAAGAAGATAAAAAAGTGAGACTAACTCTGCTTCTTGTAGACAATTTCCATAATTGTGGGAATTCCTGAGAATCATGTGACTAGAGAAACAATCAGTGGGCAGTTTTTTATGTGGATTACAATTAAAGTAACGGAGACATCCATTTCAGGGACACACATTAATTTAAAGATTTTATTAAAATATTTTAATTTATTAAAAACTATAGCATTTGGTGAGAAGTATTATATGACAATAAAAAAATCAATAAAAAGCATAGTATTTATTCGGATTTCTAAATTATACTTTTAACTGAACTTGAGCATACATAAACTGGGACATGGCAATTCAGCCACTTGCACTGAAATTAGAGTAATTATTTTAAATTTAATTTAATTTTAGCACTTGTAATCGGGTCTTATTGTTAAAATTGGATAATCTTATCAGAAATTTTTTCTTGTTGAATTTTTTATTATTCTGTACCATATAATGCCCTAGGGACACAAATGGCACTGAATAGTATTAGTATAGTAATTATTTTCTTTATTTCTGTAAACTAATTTCTGTAAAGTAAAAACTGGAAGGACCCCATACAAATTATGCGGCTGAAGCTCCCTGTGAAGCCCATGTGCAATTGTTAAGTTTTATCTCGGAGGTTATTTACATTGTTAACTTTCATGAAAATACTTATAAAATAGTCCACTATAAAATAGTTAAGTTTTGTTGTCCAACAACTCTGACAAGTCATAGAGAAAAAATATTATTTATAATTTATAAAAAAAAAAACACTATATGAAGATAAATGTCCATACAATGCAGATAAATTGCTCTCACACTATTTGTATATTATTATTTCAAGATTTCTTTTTCTTTTTAGCAATTACACATATTTTTGGCTGTATTTTGGCAATATTTTTATGGTACAGTTCAGTAAAACATAAAAATATAATATTAATAAAGTGAGTGAGTCTTTTTTCTCAAACAGACTTTGAACTACATAAATATAACAGTTTTTACTTAATATTTGTGTCAACTGCCTATGTCAAAATTCTGTTTTTTATTTTAAGGCACATTTTTTTTCTTTTCTGTTGAAAATTGCCATCCATAAATTTGTTTGTATTTGGTGTGTTCTTACACACAGATATTACCTTTTGTATGCTTAAATACGTCTGTACCATTTACACACACCATCTTAGCCAAAAGTATTACATATCATACGCACATAACCATACTGTATAAAAACATACAATAAAAACAGAAATTTGTGCTACTGAAACAGATTTTGCACAAAATCTATCCTGTTAATTTATCTATTTATAGTTATGGTTATTTTGATGTGACTTGCTTGTTTTGTGGATTTGTAGATGAAGTATCTGTAGCTCCACATTTGTTTTTTGAATGCGGTGTCACTAACAGATTTTGGGTTGAATTAAGCTGTTAAATGTGCAAATGCGACACGTTTCTCGTCAAAATTGTTGTCTTCTTTTGAAAACATAACTTTTGAGTAATAGTTGCTTAAGAAAACCGGTGCTATTTTTAAATGCATTGTGACAATCTTTTTAAGGATACACTTTAATCGCATTTTCGCCTTTTTATATATTGATGATGTTCAAAGCTTGATTCATGCAAACCTATTAATACCACATTTTTTTGTTGTTTGCTTTCTTTCTTTGTTGTTTTTTCCCCCTGCATTTTCTTATTTCACATGTAAGAGTTATAACTCTCCCTGTTACTGTTTTGTCATGAAAATATATTTTAAAAAGAGAGAAAAATGCAGACAAAAAGACTAAAAGTGCTAGACATGGTGCTTGATTTTGCAGGACATTTTTTTACATAAACTAGTAAGAAGGAATTAATGAAATATTTAAATTTATGTAGGCTATTATGCACAAATGTTAATAGGGATAGATATAAATGTAATAGCTTATAAAGGTATTAACAATAAATAATATTGAACTGAACGACTGAATTTAGGCATAATGTAATAAAAGTGTGAAATTTGAAAGGGACTGAGAGGTATCAAATCAGGGAGGAGGGAGCGTGGTAATCTTTTTTCATTGGTTAGGTTTTTTTCCAGTAGGGGCGTGGCAATAGTTTTTTCCATTGGTCAAAGGTTTTCTTTTCAGTCAAATGCGTTGGGTAGTTAGATTAACATATTTAATAAGCTGCTCATTTAGTTTAAAGGTGGATCATTCTACTTTATGTACTGGTGTTTAGAATAAAACTATTTATAACTATTTATAAATGCACTAAGAAAAGTGTTTTATTCAGTACAAATCCATTTTTTTGCTTGGTAAATATATATTGTTCAACTATCACAGATTTATAATGAAGATAATAAGTTATTAGTAACTTTATGTTAAGTCATATTAATTAATTGGAACACAAACATGGGCTGCACGGTGGCACAGTGGGTAGCATGTTCGCCTCACAGCAAGAAGGTTGCTGGTTTGAGTCCTGGCTGGGTCAGTTGGTGTTTCTGTGTGGAGTTTGCATGTTCTCCATGTGTTCGCTTGGATTTCTCTGCCCTGGGTGCTCCGGTTTCCCCCATAAGTCCACAAACATGTGGTACAGGTGATTTGGGTTGGCTAAATTCTTAGTATTTGTGTGTGAATGAATGTGTATGGATGTTTCCCAGTGATGGATACGTTGGCGATTCATTCTGCTGTGGCGTCCCCAGATTAATAAAGGGACTAAGCCGAAAAGAAAATTAATGAATGAATGAACACAGACACATAAACATATATGGAGCATATATACACATAAACGCATATATATGTAAGCTTTTAAAAGTTTTTAGGAAACTTAAGCTATTTAAGTCTCATCATTTAGCATGACACTAAAATACAAACATGCTGGAATGTAATAACTGGGAAATTATAATGTAGAAATTAAGCTGTAAGCTTGATTAAATTTTATTTTAAATGTAATTACATTGACCATATCGAGATGTAATTCAGAACGGTCTTCACTTCAATTTTAGTGACTTTAAGAATGAAAAACAAACCTACAAGTGCAGCAATCCACAATAAGTGGTCTTGTGCTGCCACCTAGTGGCTAAATTGAGTTTAAAGTGATTAATGCTAAAATTCTGGCTTGTAAATTGAATATCTGTTTGAGACATCTTAAATATAATAATGCTCACATGCAGTTACAAAGAAAAAAAAAAGTAAATTTATATATGTGGTGGAACGGGAGATTGGCATGGATGTGCAGCCGACAAAATCTGCAGCAACTGCAGCTATCATGTCAATATGGATCAAATTCACTGAGGAATATTTCCAGTACCTTGTTGAATCTATGCCACGAAAGATTAAGGCAGTTTTGAAGACTAGTAAGACATAGGTGTCAAAGTAAATGCTTAGAGGGTAGCAGCTCTCCACAGTTTAGCTCCATCAAACACAACTCGTAATGGTAATTGTAAATCGAAGTGTTTAATAGGATCTTGATCACCTTGATTATTTGGATCAGCTGTGTTTGATTAGGGTTGGAGCAAAACTGCAGATCTCCTATCCTCAAAGAATTAACTGACACCTATGTAATAAGGTGTACCTAATAAAGTGGCCGGTGTGCGTCTATATTTATAAGAAAATAAATAATAAATAACTACATAAATATATGATACTATATTAATTAATTATTTTTTAACTTTTAAATATACTTCAACGATCTCAATGACTTGAACCTTTCCTTTTTATCAATTTAGAGCTATAATTCATGATTTAACCAAGGTTTATCTTTTTCATATGCCACATACTCAAAAACAGTACGTTTCTGAATTCCCATATCACAATTACCGAATAATTCCCCAATTATTCCCACAATTTATTTATTCGGATGTACCTACACATACGTTTAAACATTTTAATTTGAAAAACGTAAACCCTTGCCCCGCCTCTTACGTTTATATTCTCTTGCTTTCAATGCGGATTGATAGCGATATGTTAAGAAAGCACGCAGGAAAGTTTTGCTTTGCGAGTTATCCATCCTGAATTGGTAAACGGTGTGTGCTCCGTTCTGCTTTGCCGATTGCAAAGCGTGATTGGGAAACGGTTTGCCAGAATATACCCTGACCACCATGCCTGCAAAAACAAAGTACAATTTAGTCGATGATGGACACGATTTACGGATTCCTTTACATAACGAGGAAGCCTTCCAGCATGGCATTAATTTTGAAGCAAAGGTAACGTGAATTTATTTTTCACCACTGTTTATTTACATTCTGCTGCATGCGCTGTTTTAGTACCAGGACACATTTAAAGTTGTTTTGCTATTGTTTCTTACTTGTTTACAATCCGTACTGTCTGTTTGAAACACCTTAAGCTTCACTAAGCCAAAGTTGTCGACAGCAGATTAATGCATACCGTTTGCTTTGATTTCCAGTATATTGGTAGTCTGGATGTGGCTCGACCGAATAGCCGTGTGGAGATTGTTGCGGCCATGAGGCGAATAAGGGTGAGTTGTAATGTCACCGGTTTACTTTAACGCTTTCCCAAAGGAGACAAAGATGATAAACGTCAGTATTTGTATGTATAGAAGTGGCTTTTTTTGGTTCTAAAGCGTTGTGACTCATGCCTGTGTTCCGCACGGGTGGTCTTCATGCCTCGAGCAACAATCAAAATACAAAAGCAGAACAGATCAATGAGCAAATTGCTTACAAAATAAAAAGGTGGGATACTGATAGCCCTGTCAGAGGTGCTTTGATACACATACAGCAGTTCTGTAAGTTAATTCGCCTTTAGCTACCGCAGTGTTTGTGGATTTTCATGTGTGTAAACAGAGAAGAGCCCTTTGAAGTGGGGGTCTTCTGCGTAAAGCACTTAAAGGGCCAGTTTTGGCGCCCACCAACCATGCCTGGTGAAAATGCTCTGGTTTTCTATGTGGCTAAACCCCATCATAGGCTGTTTTTGCTGTCATTTTGTTGTGTCATTGCGTTTAAACACAACTGTTGAAAGTCGTTATTAATCTTGTAGTAACAATATAATAACTGGTTCATCTAGCTGTGTTCTAAATTACAGGATCCCTATGGTTTTTACAGTTTTCCACATTGAGCAGGGGGTATTTGTAAAGCCAAATGCTTCAATTTAAACACATTTTTATTATTAATCTGTATATATTTTTGATTGTCCGGCAACTGCATCAAAAGCTAAAAGATTGTGTTCCATGCATCAAATTTAGTAAATAAACTGTCTGTTTTAAAATTTTGGATAACTTTTGTGAAAGTAAAATATCAAATTATTGGAAAAGTAATGTTTCACTGTAATTCAGTGTACATTTACATACAAACTTACACATTATATGCATTTTAAAGCTGTTTATTCTTTAAAGCTTATAATCCCCTGTTGATGTTTGAGGTTGCAATGTTTTTTATACATATTTTTGGGTCCCACTCTATATTGAGGGTCCTTAACTACTATGCACTTACATTGGAAAATAAGTACAATATATTTGTTGTGTTCATATGGTATTTCAGAACACTTCTCGTGCTCTTGAAGTTAGGGACAGGTTTGGCGGTACGGGTATAAGTTAAAGGTTGAGTTTAGGTCAACATGGTTAACAGAAATTAATTACAAGTGTAATTACATGCAGGCACTTATTCAATAATAAGTACAATGTAAAAACATGTATTTACACAATAAGTAATTGTAACAAATTATTATCAAGTACATAATAATGTGACCCCTTTTTCTGTCCATTTTTACTTAATGGTATAATGTGGTCTGAAGTATAATAAACCATATTTTTAAAAAATGGGATAAGCATAGCATGGAATTACTAACCTGCTATTCCCTTTCGTTGGTAGTTTTACAATTCTCTGAGTTTGAAGTTCAGGTTACCCTGTTGTTGTTAGCTGTATTAATGGTAGGTTCTCAACATTTAGTGCCTTATTACTGGAAGGGAGTTTTTTATTTTTTACCTGTTGTAGATATCTACTTCCTTTTTTCTAAAATGTTTTGCAATTTAGGTTTATGACATTTACAGTACAACTTAATTAAGGGAAGTGTGTTGTAAGATGTTAAAAGGCTTTTTTCCCCTCAACATCCTGTTTTCCAGCCTGGCAGCAGACACCAGGTGCAAACGATCCTATTAACCTTTTCAATTTACTGGACCCCTGCAATTATCTCCTGGCTTAACGGGCAACCATGTATCTAGCCATGCAGAGAAATACAGCCTGTTAAAACTTTTTACAGAAATGTTACAAAAAACTAACCATCGTGTAGTGGTTCAAACAGTGGAAGCATTGTTTGAGCTTGGACCTGACTGCCCTACAAAGACAAATTACAGTAACTATGACAACGCAGAAACTGAGACTTTATTTTTTGATTGACTTCATATCAGTTTTCACACTTTTTAAAACAATATGAATGTCACCACTTAAAAGTTAAGACATCAAGCTTTTTTGCTTGTTAAAAATGACCAAATTAGCAGATGTTTGTAGCTACTACACTGAATTGTGCTCTGCAGAATATTGTGAGTTATGACTTTCTGAACCATGTATTTAAACCTTATGTACTGTTGGGGATGTTTTTATCCCCGCTGGGTTGATTTTTGATTATTAATTTGGCCATAACTTTTTTTTGCTGTGTTTCAGCTAGCAGAATGACACATATTTCAAGAAAAGGCTTTGAATTAAAAACAAAATGACCACCCTTTTGTTTTGTTGGGGATGCAAACATAAACTAAATTAAACTGCTGTAATTAATTTTTTTTTTGCATAAATCTGTTTATCTACCTCACAAACCCCACAAAATTGCGTATTTTCAATTTAAAAAGTAATTGTTGACTGGATTTATAAAAAATCTTTTATCGAAGTCTTGGACATGTGAAACAACATTGCCCTTGTTGCATTGTTTTTGATTAATTTTCATTTTGTTCTTCCTAATTTACTGCTGGTGGCTTTTTTGCCCCATTGACTTCCATTATAACCACATTTTTTTATTACAAAACCATGACACCATATAATCATGCATTTTTGATTGTTGGTGGTTTTGTTGAAAGGGTTACATTTTGTAATGTTACCTGTTGGTCATTATCAGTATTAACCTTTTAGATAGGCCTGTGCAAAAAAAAGGTTAGTTTCTGAATACTCTTTATATGGAGTATAAAGTGTGTCTGTGAGTGTGTGAGAGTGACCTTTATGCACTGACCTTGATGTGTCTGAGAAAATCAAAATCAGGACTGAGGATGATTAACAGATTTATCCCAAAAAAAAAGCATGAATTTGAAGGAAAAATTTTGACAAAATGCTGAAATGTATTTTTGCGGGCAGTTTGTCAAGCGGCTTCTCTGTATTGTTACTGTCAATTGTTTATTTGCCTGCTGTTCATTGCTATTGTGCACATTTTTTTTACAACATCATGACACACAATAATACGCTCCAACATAAAACATTTCCGTTAGTCCAAATAATCACTCAACAGCTTCAGAATGCTGATTTGTCATTTCCAAAATGATGATTTTGATGTGAAAGCTCAATGCAAAGAGTGCAGTGCATGATGATTCAAAATATAATTCTAATTTCAGTGCTTTTTTTGTTCGCTTTGTAAGATTGTACGATGTGGTGTCTATAAATGAAAGCAGAACCTTTTCAATGGCTGTCTGAAGTCATTTCTTTTTAATCTGCCTTTGATCTTAATTGCCATCACCCAGATAAAGGAATGTGGGATGAAGAGATCCGGTGATTTGTGACTACATTGGGTTTAACTTGAATCAGATAATGTAGAAGTGGAAATATTGAGGTGGGATCAGGTGTTTCGGATGCTTTGGTCAATGGTTATGTAAAAAAAAAACAAAAAAAAACACAGGCTCTCTAGTTGGCAGGAAGGGGTGATTAAGAGTCCATAGGGGAATTAAAAGCTTGAAGTCTACAATCACTGGCAATTTTCACCACACCCAGATCCCATTTAATGAGCTAGAGCCTGAAATGTTTGTAGCCTATTGCCATGTTTTATTTGGTACAAAGAATAGGGTTGGGTGATTATTCAAAGGTGACTTTCATGCGCATTTTGTCCAGTTAAGTCAGTTCTGTTAAATCTCATACGCACTATGGCTGCATGATTAATTGAACATAAGATTGCAGTTCAGCAAAAGTTGTAATTGTTGTGCATTTTTGGGCTCTGTGATCACCAGTAAATCTGCTCCAAAAGCCCCCAAAAATTTAGGCAACTATTTGCAATAGCCTTTTAAGTATTTCAAACACATTTTATTTTAGTTTGTCCTTACTTAATAGACTTTGAATGTTCTCAACTTGCACTTTTAAGGAACATCAACTCAATTTTATTAGTTTTAAACTTGTAGTTTTAAGTTTTTCAAACCTGTTTTTTTAAGTAAAAATGTACTTATTTATTGTAATTGTCCACAAAGTATTTTAAGTAACTAATATTCAGTGAAATTTGTGCTTTTAAGTAATGCTAACATAATTTCATTATTTTTCTACCTATATATTTTTTTCCAACTAGTATCAAAGAATAAATACAAAAACAGTCAAATGCATTTATTCAATTGAAAAACTTTTTTTTTACAGTATTACAGAATTAATTTAACAGTACATTTCTTATTGCGAGTACTTTTATAGATTTTTAACCTGACAATCACACAACTAAAAATCATCTTACTGAATGATGTATTGCAATCATCCGACTGAAGTTATGAGGTGAGTTATTAAATGTGGTATTTATTAAATGTTTTAAAACTTATTGTGGTATTCACATGTTTTACATGTAGCAACAACACAGAACCATAAATCATTAAAAGGCAACACAAACAGTTAAAAAAAATCACAGAATGATTATCTTTAATTACAGCAACACGCCAAACACTTTCAGCTGATTTTTTTTGGAGTAGCTTTTAAGAAACTGGCTTTGTTTAGTGAACACTGCTTCATCTGAAAGAGATTTAAAATTGATTAGAGACAGCTTTTACTGACAAAATATGCATTTTTTTTTTCAATTCATTGTGTAGTCCTACTACACACAAAGCTGAAGTTGGATATTGAAACAGTGATACATGTGTGCCCTATAACATCTTGGGGTATTATAAAAATGTTTATTATGATGTCCCACATTCTACAAAAACAAAACAAAAGTAAAGTCATCCAGAAGTTTATCAAGAAGAATTCTTGAATATAAGATGCAGCTTATTAATTTGTTTACCAGTGTAGATAAATGATACCATTCAAAAAGATACTTTCCTATTAATGTGTACAATTTTGTCACTAGTACTTTCATACAAAACATTATATAAACAGGGTTCTTATAATTAGTCAATTAATAAATGAAGAAATCAATAAATTATTAATTGTTTACTTAAATAATGTATCAAAAATCACACTACGTGGATAGTCAGATATCTTCTGCAGTAGTGATTGGTTCGAAATGTTTTGGGAAAAAGTATTTATGGACAAAGCTCAATTTTCACAGCTAAAGTTTGTGCATTACTTTGAACTTTTGAACAAA